TTGGATTGTGTAGCTATTTTAGGAGATTTATTCCTAAATTTAGTGATTTAGCTAGACCGTTAACAATTATGTTGAAGAAAAATGCTATTTTCAGTTGGACTGAAAGGGAACGAAAAGTTTACGAGGAGTTGAAAGGAGTCATAACTTGTAAGCCTGTTTTAGCATGTTTTCAAAATGATGGTAAAGTCGAGATCCATACCGATGCTTGCGATTACGGTATTGGAGCTGTCTTATATCAAAGTCAAAGTGATGGTAATCTAAAGCCTGTCTGCTATATTTCCCGTACTTTGAACCCCGCTGAGAAGAATTATGGAGTGACGGAAAAGGAGTGTTTAGCCATAGTTTGGGCTTTACAGAGGTTACGCCATTATTTGTTTGGACGCATATTTACTGTTGTTACAGACCATTGTGGGTTATGTTGGTTCACATCATCGAAAAGACTGACGCCGAGATTGATGCGGTGGGCAATCAAATTGCAAGAGTTTAATTTTGTTGTCAAGTATCGTAGTGGACGATTGCATGGAGATGCTGATTGCATTTCACGCTATCCGCTAAAGGAGATCAGTAATGATGATGAAGTTGAGATTAATCTTCCAGGAAGATTGAATCAGAATGATATTTCGATTTGTTACATTGAACCTGTTGCAAAGTTCAAGGATGTGCAATTGAAAGATGCTTATTGCTTAAAGATCCGGGATCTTTTGAACTCTAGTGAGTTAACGAAGAGAGCAAAAAGCAGATTGAAAAAGAAGTTTCTGATTCTGAATCAGATTTTGTTCTTTAAAAGAGGAAAAGAACTTGTGCCTGTTATTCCTAAAGAATTGAGAATTCTTGTGATGAGCGAAGCTCATAATGAAGGTCATTTGGGTATGAACAAATGTTTGGAAAAACTCAAGTGTCGAGCTTATTGGCCGGGAATGTGCAAAGATCTTTCCAATGTGATTCGAAAGTGTGATAAGTGCCAGAGGAGAAAGCCTTATCCTGCAGCTAGCCAAGGATTAATGATCCCGATAAGATGTCCAAAGAACGTATTTTGTGACATAAGTTTGGATATTATGGAGCTACCGCTGTCGAAAAATGGTTTCAAATATGTTGTGGTGATCAACGATCGATTAACTAAGTTTGCCGTAGCAACATCAGTGAAATCAACAGAAAGTGAGCAAATTATTGAAGTTTTGTTCAGTGATTGGATACTTAGATTTGGAGTTCCAGGAACTCTGATAACTGATCGAGGGACAAATCTAATGTCTGAGGAGTTTGAAACTTTTCTGAAAAGTTTTGGCATTAGACATTTGCCTACATCAGCTTATCATCCACAAAGTGATGGACAAACTGAACGATTTAATTCCTATTTGGGTACAACTTTGTGCATTTACAGTGGAAACAATCCGAATGAGTGGGATAAATTCCTGAAAGAAGTTGTTTTTGCATACAATGTGACGCCTCATAGGGTTACTAAGTATTCGCCGTTTTATTTAGCTCATGGTGTGGAAGCCAGGCTTCCCTGGGAATCCAAGATTGGATTGCCAATTGAATGGAATCGAGTTTCTACAAGAGAAGATGCTTTGGTTAAAGCTCGAGAATTGATTCGATCGAATATTGAGAATTCTCAATCGAAGTCAAAGGAGTTGTACGACCGAACGCATAAGGAAACTGAGTTCGATTTGCATTCGCTTGTTTTGGTAAAACAGCCTTTATTGGTTAAAGGAAGAAACAAGAAGTTTATTGATAGGTTCAAGGGACCTTATAAAATAATTAAGAAGATAAATCCAGTTAATTATGAGTTAATTAACCTAAAAGGGCCAGTTAAGAAAGAAATTGTTCATGTTTCTAGACTGCGGCCATACCACAGTGAAACTCATTCCAGGAATGAGGAGGCTGATGATGAGCTGTTGGAAATGCTTGGATTTAATTAATTATGCTTGTTTCTGTTTAAATTAATTTATTTTCATTTTGGGTATTTTGTTAAATTAATTTGTTAAATTTTGAAGTTGGAGGTTCATTTGGTCATTGCAATGGTTACTCGGTAACCAATGACACTTGTTTCCCTCGCAACTGGAAGTGGAAGTTAAACTCATTGTTCTGGGAACAATTGTTCTATTCACTTCAATTTGTTAATTTCATTTGGAAATTTTGTTAATTTTGCTTTGTGTTTTGCAAATAGTTAATTTTGCATTTAGTTGTAATCGTATTCAGCAATCAATTGGAATACTCTTACTGAGTTCGCTGTTAGTGTTCTGGGAACACTCCAACATCGTTCTGAGATCTCGGATCTCATTGGTTTTAGTTACTGGGTAACTTCAACGTTTGTATTCTAGGAATACTTTATTTTGTTTCATTTGGGAACTTTTTGTGATAATTTGTATATTGGATATACTTATTTGTTTGTATTCTCGGAATACTTGTGATTTCTGAAATCCATTTGTGTGTTGAACCGGGTTCAACTTGTGATAAGTTTGATAATGGATATCGAATGGGAGCCTTTAGAAGATGCCAATGATGACTTACCAGAAATCATCTTCGAAGCTCAAAGGTGGGACCCTAATGGTCAACCTAGGGAACCGATTGGAGTTGCCGCTGCTGGTATTGGAAATCCTGTGATAATTGGTCCGGATAATAGACCTGCACCGCCGGTACAAGAATGGCAATTGGTGGATGAGGACAACTCTTTGGCTCATAGACAGATGGTGAATCCTCAAGAATTTGAAGATTACAAGTGTATCTTTTGTTTAAGTATAGCTGTGGAACCTTTGGTTCATGTAACTTCTCCGCAACCAGGTTGCCCAACGATATTGTGCACTCGCTGTTTTGAACGCTTCCTGGAAGCTGCAGCAAATCAGTTCTGTCCTTACAGATGCAATCGAGGAGAACTGTTAAGAAATGGAATTGGTCCATTACCTTTGAGAGGTGGACGAAGAAATTTGGCAACTCTTAATAGTCTACAAGTAAGGTGCAAATATGAAGCTTGTAACGAGATTGTCAGATATGGTGATCTGAATGCACATGTTGAGAACTGTGTTCACAACCCTGAAGGAAATGCTCCTTGTGAAAATTGTGGTGTCCCTAAGCGTGGTCATAATTGCAAGGATTATGTTAGAACACTCGAATCCAGGATTCGCAGTCTCAATGAAAAGAATGATGATCTTTCCACTCAAGTAATCGATTTGATGATGGAAAGAGATGCGGTTCGCGAAGAACTCGCCCAAGCTCGACAGGATGGACGTCCAAGAGGGATGATGAATAACCTTCGTTGCGCTAATCAGTATCGAGGATCACCTCATGTAATTGTGAGATATGGGGATCGCTCGAGACGTTTCACTGATTTGGATCTTGGAATGAGAGCCAGTGAACTTCGATCCAGGATCGAAAGGCACTTTTGTACGGAACTGGGTTCCATCATAAGAGTGGATTACACTGTCCTAGGAACTCATCAAACCCTAAGACAGCATCAAGTGGGTCATAGACCAACGTTTTGGATTGCGTTGCCACCCGGTGAACGGGTTGTGGATGGACAATCAATCGAAGTTACGTTGGGTGCTAATGGACCGGTGGTCTAGTTTCAGTCGGGGGGAATGTTGTGCATTTCAATGTTCGCGCTTTGTAATTACTGTTACTAGCAACCGGGTTGCTAAAGAGAGCTGTTGCTCTGGAAATACAGTATTTCCTTTTCTTTTCTATTTTTTGTTTAATATCCTTTACTTTTGATTTCCGTATTTAATTGTATAAATAGCTCTAAATTGATCAATTGTTTTAAGTGACCTTTGATAGATTAAACCTTTGTAATCAAGAATCAACGTGTGTCCTTCAAGTTTATTAGATTCTAGGAATCTGTGCTTTGGTGAATATTCCAGGAATATTCAGCCTTACCAACTAGGTTGGTTAAACTCATCGTAATACTCGGTATTACATTTGATCTGTGATTAGTCTTGGACTATTACTGGTTTAGAAGTACTGACTACCCGGTCAATTCTTAGTTTCAACCCTGTTGAAGTTTTGTGAATTACTCAACCCGGTTGAGCCATACTGGTGAAATTAAGCTTCTAGGAAGCTTCTGTGATTCAAAGTGTGTTAGAAGAACTTGGAACCGGACGTCATACAACACAGTTGATGAACTCGATTGCCGGTGTGTCTCATCTCATTTCAATGGAACAAGAGATTGTTGCATACGATTATGCATCTTGAAACTGATTTGTCATGTGAGAACTCAATGTAATAGTCATTTCAACTGTCTTGAAATGAAAAATTCCTTGTTCCTATAAGATGAGGTGAGTTACATCGGCGATTGAGTCTATCAACTGTATTGAAATGAACGATCTCTTTTTACGAATCCATCGACGAATGAGTCTATCAACTGTCTTGATTCGTTCTGATTTATATTTTGACTTATAAAAACGTTCAATTTATAAGTTTCTTAGATGATTTTTCATCAAAAATGCAAAGCAAACCACGCACGATACGATAGTCAGTATTACTACAACAGACGTACCAATGCAATTAAGAATGGTATAAGCTGGGTACGTTCATAGAAATCATTTTAATCATCATCTGTCTTGAAATGAACAATTTATTGGTACATCGGGCATTTTTTACAAAATTCATTTTTATTCGATAGTTAAGTAGTAAATTACAATTATTATTCACAATCTATGCGTATTATTATACAACTATTTCAAGTCTTCATTATTAAAACAATCGACGATTAAATTTCTTTCTAAATACAATCTCGAGATGAAGGATTAGGGATTTTTTGTATCATCGCGAATCAGTCATAAATTTTGGTCACGGTCCTAAGCACACTTTTTTGGCAATACAATAATAGATTGAAAAACTAAACAATTGGGTTTTCAACAGAGTCAAGTTTTCAAGTCAATTTCAAGTGGCAACCTATTATGATGTACGTGGTAAAATCCATCCTCACCAATATATGCAATTCTTGCCACCGCTTCAGTCAGCGCTGAACGGATGTTCTCAATCGTCGATTTGTCATTTGAAGTAGAACACTATTTAATATTCAACGCTATTCTATCTAATTGACGATAAATTTTGTAGGCTTTAGAAAGAGCAGCATAATTAATAAAATGAGAATAAACTGCTGATTGCTGATCCATTGCATTGGCAATAAAATCATCAAAAACGTTTAATAACGTTAGATGATCGCCATCAGGACTCATATAGGTAGATCTACAAGCTTCTGCTTCTTTCTTTGAATCAAAAGGAGTTACAAAGCACATAACATCAGTACATAACATTGCAATTATCTTATTGATCTCTTTTTGACAATTCAAAGAGCATGATTTTAGCAGAATCGCACTCAATTGGGGCTCCAACGGGAAAGTTGATAATTTTTTCTCAGTTTCAGTTATAATGCCTTGAGTGTCCTTTGCTTTAATCAATGTCAATTCTTGCAATGCCAACATCAATGAATAAGGAGGTGGAGTATGAATGAAATCGAATTCAGCAACATTTCGTTTAATATTCTTCAAAAACAAAACAAGTGAGCTTAATTCTGAAATTTGAATCTCAGGGTGTTCCATTTCCGCTAACAACTCGAATGAGTGCCAGCTCTGGTTCTACCGGCACGACCTGCTCTCTGAATGGCAGCTGATTTTGAGATTGGGACAGAAGCTAAGACTTCAGATCCAAGCTCTGGATTAAAAATTTTTTGCTTACAGAATCCTGTATCAACAACATAGGCGACTCCATCAATTGTGAGAGAAGTTTCAGCAAGATTAGTCGAAACAATAATTTTTCTAGCTATTTTATCACAAGAGGCCGGAGCAGAAATTTTTTCGATAATGCGCGAATGTGATTCAGCGGGAAGAGCTGAATAAAGAGGTAAAATAAGAAAATTGCTGGTTTCTTTATATCGGCCAAGTTCAAACTCAATTCTTGTGCAGATTTCTTCGATTTCCTGAAATTAAAATAAATGGAAAGAGAGTTATTAGTAATTAATAGGTAAATATGGCCACGAGTAGATTACCTCTTTACCAGTCATAAAAACTAAAATATCCCCATCTGGATGATTTAGATGAATGGTTATAACAATTGCGATAGCTTGAGCGATAACATTTTGAAGTGGCTGAGATGCATAAACGATTTCTACAGGAAAAGCACGACCGGGTATCTCGATGATATTTGGATTGCCGAAAAAGTCCATAAGTGTGTTGATGTGTGAAGATGCACTCATGATTATTATATTGAGATCGGGTCTTTTTTTCGAAGCACTTTTTAGAAGGCTTGAAAGAAGGTCAAGATTTTTGTTCTTCTATGAGCTTCATCAGCTAATATTATTGAATATTTCATGAATAAAGGGTCAGTTATGGCTTCACGGACCAGTATTCCTTCTGTTTTATAAAACAATTGCGTTTTGCGAGAGTAACAGTGGTCAAAGCGAACACAATATCCCACTTCCTGGCCTAATTCAACACCACGCTCTTGCGCTACACGATTAGCAACAGCTATTGTAGCTAACCTCCTTGGTTGAAAGCATACAAGAAATTGAAATTGAAAGATTGAATAGCTTAGCTTAAGATAGAAGATTGTGAAGGGTTGAAGAGGTTAAGATCACACTTACCAGCCTGTTGAGAATCGCGCGACCTTGATTCAAGACACCACTGAGGAACCTGAGTTGTTTTTCCAGAGCCTGTTTCACTTTTAAGGAATATAATTTGATTTTCTTTGATTTTTTTAAGGATGTTTACACGATGGTCTTTTATAGGAAGTAGCAACTCGACACCAGTTACACAGAGATCAATCGAATTAAAAGTGTGCAGAAAGAGGTAACAGGAAAATACGGTGCCTCTGGTGAACAATCAACACAATTATTACATGCGACGATAGTAACTACAAATATTGAGGGCTAGATAGAAGGGAATAAAATTTAAAGAAAAAACAAAGATTAGAGCACAAGAAAAAGTCATTATAATTATGCCATAAGGCACAACCGTACATCAACAACAATCAAAACAATTATCAAAAAACAAAACTTGTCTCTAGAGTTTACACGAACTCCACTCGTTTGGTTATTTTGATAACTCAATGGAACAAGAGATTGTTGATTCCAAGAAAGTTTCTAGACTCAATCGCCGATAGTATTGGACCAAGAGACAGTTGTTAGACTCACTTGTCGGTAACTAAAAATATTGATAAATAGGTGGAAGGGAATAAAATTATAAAAAACAAAGATAAATAAATATATATAAATATCAACATAATCTGGTTTACGAAACTTCTCTTCAATCCATCCTTAACCCATTGAGCGGCTGGTATTAATTCTTTTCAACGTTGCAGGATCACTCATCACTCGTGGATTATCATCACCATAAAGTAGTCAATACCATTTACCACCAGGACTAAAGTCATTATCCATTGTAGACATATTTCGAATAACTCAATTGCAAAAAAAAAGTTATTGTCTTGAAAAATTTAATTTGCATGTGATCACTGCAAAATTTTCAAGTGAGTAGATAAATGGAAGAAGACATTATTCTAGGAAAACAAAGATGCAAATAAGATTAGTATTTTCTGGTCCAAGTTATTCATATTATGCCCATAGAATATATGAGGATGACGCAATAAGATAAATATAAGTTTTACAAACCTCTTCAAATCTTTTACCTCTTTTATGTTGTGGATACACAAATCCTTTGGTTGATAGTTGGTCAAAAAAATACGATATGAGACGTACCAATGCAGTTAATTAAGAATGGTATAAGCTGGATACGTTCATAGACATAATTTGTAATCATCAACTGTCCGGAAATGAACAATTTATTGGTACATCGGGCATTGTTTACAAAATTCATTTTTTATTCGATAGTTAAGCAGTAAATTACAATTATTATTCACAATCTATGCGAATTATTATGCAAATATTTCAAGTCTTGATTTAGCACAATTTCTCTAACCATTGCCCCCTCAGACTCAGTACCAGTAGTTACTTCATTGTTCGTAGCTCTTAGTATGTTGGCAACGGCATCTGTTAATTCTTCAAAGTCACTTTGGCATAAGTTTTTTCTGAACAAAAGTATCAATGGTAATTCATTTGCAATTTTGTGATCGAACGAAAGATAATTCCTCAAATAATGCAAAAAGCGCTCAGCTGGTGAGAAACCGAAAGTCGGATATAATGGTTCTCCTAAAAACTTGTATTGACCATAGATGATGACTGGTGCTAATGAATCAAAAAACCGCTCTTGCAGAGGTCGTTGTAAGTTCCCCATAATTGAACCCGATTCCTCAATCGAGGGAGTTTAACTCGACCATTTCTTGGACACTTGCATCGGCTCAGGATGATGTTCCACAGTATGTGCCTTTTTCCAAACCAAACATGTTCGTCAACAATTACAGGAATCTCATGCTTGAGGTGAGAGAACCTATTCTAGGAAAACAAAGCTGCAGATAAGATTAGTATTTTCTAGTCCAAGTTATTCATTTTATGCCCATAGAATGTATGAGGATGACGAGATAAGAGACATATAAGTTTTACAAACCTTTTCAGAATCTTTTACCTCGTTTATGTTGTGGATACACAAATCCTTTGGTTGATAGTTGGTCAAAAAAATGCGATATAAACTAATGCTTAACCACCAGACTTAAGAACTTTTATCTTGTGTAATAAATGGCAAGACACTTCATAAACAATGAAAACGGTGCAATGAACAAATTATTAAATTTAAGTCAATCACTAGCCGAATTAGCTTTGTAGAAGCAAAGATAACCCCAGACCCTGGAACAATGCAATGAGTGAAGAGGTAAAAGGCTAGCAACTCTGTTGCGATAGATCGAAGGCGGTGTAATCAAATTTAATCGTCAATGAAATCCAATTCATTCTATTGGAATCAAAAAGATAGTTCAAGACAGTTGTTAGACTTATCAAGACTCAATCGTCGATGGATTCGTAAAAAGAGATTGTTCATTTCAAGACATTCAGTATCATCCAACAAATTTTTAAATGTAAAGGTAAATGAGATAATTTCTGATGTGTCCAAAGGAGTAACCCAGTGTGTCCTCGCTTAAGTTATATCCTCGGATAAGTTATGACTCTTCTTTCATCAACTTTTGCCTTTTGCTCAAGCGATGGTACAATCCGAGTTCGGGATAAATTGACAAAATTTCACAATCCGAAGACCAATAAATACTTCTCTTATACTTGTAAAACATTAGTCAAACCCTACCAACTCTATCACTCATAAATTTAATTCTCGGAATACCGCTGCTTTTTCAAAGGAAAATTGAGGATTTTGATTGCAAGAGCTACAGTCACGTTTTGTAACATACAGCTGTATGGGTGTTTGGTATTTTGTTCAATTCGAGAAGTGCTGCCTCAACTCATGGAAGGAACTCTTGTATTTTCAAGAAATATAAGAAAGTTAAAAATTGCGTTGTGCAACTTGATAGTTATTAATTTTTTTTCCATTCTTGTTCAAGATTTTAGGCAATCATTTGCAGATCCTGTTGAAATTTTCCATAATGGAATGTAGTAGCTCATGATTGCTAGCGTTATTGCCATTGTTGTTTGCGAAATGAATAGTAATAACACTTTAATTCTGAAATGGAGCTGACTGGTTTGATGTTAAGTGGCTTTGATTTAGATAATTCAATTTGTGATTTTCTTACTGATGAGTTCGGTATAATAACGGACACAATAATTTTTGTATCGCGTGCAATGAAAAATTTAAGTGAAATCTCTACTTTATTTATTATATTCAAAGAATATGCACGATAAGGTCATAGTCCTGGGACTAGTTGCGGATCTCCCCTAAAGGTGACGCTGTTATTTTCTTTTTTTGGTACTTGCACACCACCTTTAGACTTAGGACCAAAGAAGAGCCTCAGGACCCTCAGGTGTAAACAGTTAGACTCGAAAAGTATATCCTCTGCTTCTGTACTAGTTCATGTTTTGCAAGTTGAATTTTGGTTACTAAAAATCAATTAAATGGAACAATCAAAAAATATTGGCACAAATGAAGCTACGAAAGAAAGTAAGTTTTTTACAGCAAAATCTATTTAGTGTTGTCAATTATTTCAATGTATGCTTGTAACAGTTACTATCAAAGTTAAAATTGCTGATGAGGATTATCATGATGTTGTGATAAATTTGTCGAATGATCAAGCTGCGCATAAACAATTTTTGAAAAGGTAAGTTCAATTTTATCAACTTTCAACTTTTTACTGACGAATTCTGCAATAGATTTCGTCCATAATAGGAATGAAAGTATGGCGCATTCGTTCTGTTTTTCTATATAACCAAATTCGTGATTTTCCGAATCCAAATTCTTTCTTACGAATTCACCAACTCGATTATATCTCAAGAAATTTTCGAGAATCATTTTAATTCAGTTATATGGTTGAGCAACGCTTTTTAATCGACGGGACTCGTTATGCTCTCGATATGGAATTCGAATACCATTTTAATAGGCTGGATGAGGATTTCAATTTGTATTCAGAGTCATATTTTGATGAGCAACGCTGTACACTCGCGTACTGTCACCACATTAATAGCAGGGCTTTTTGGAATCGAAAAGCATGGATTATAAAAAAACACATTTTAGCAATAAGTTCTGTCAGAGACACATTTAATGGTTTTTTTCGTCCTGTGACGTTCAGCCTTACTTACACCCAATTTGTACAGCAAGAGAAAACTTGCGCTTAAACCAAACTCAGCCTCTCTATTCACGAACTCGCGGTTGATCTGACAAAAATAAAGTTTCCTTTGCTGAATAAAGCAACGATTGTTTCAAAAATTCGTCTTAATCAATCTTGTTTCAGCTATCTAACGATGCTACTCGGTTCGGTTGTAATACTTCCTGATTCTTTCAAAGGCACAATTTTGTGACAATAGAGGTGCCTTTGAATAGTAAGCCATTTCGTGCAGCACCGCCAAAAGGCGCTTATATGATAGCGTACTTTTTTATAAGCACTATGTGCGTCACTACAGTAATCAAAATCAGTATGAAAATTTTCAGTAGATAAGCATTTGCGTTAAATATCTAATTCATTTTAACATGAGGTTACGTGCTCACGTGGGAAAAATGCTTATTCGTCGACTTATTCGGCAATTGCAATAATCAATGAATGATTTTAATCAAAGAAAATGACTTTCCAGTATAGTCATCTTTAAAGTGTTGAATTTCATGATGTCTCGTTTGATCCGATAATGATCTATGAATATTACGCAGTTAATGATGTTTAAGCAATTTTAATTAAAAATGAAAATGCATTTCAGTCACATCAATAAACAATTATCGTAAAAGCAAGGATACTTATTGATCAAATGATCAATTAATGATTATTCAACATCATTAAATGTCATAGAACATATAACAAGTTATCATGACCATTTATTCAACATTTGCAATTGTGAAAACTACAACTGTACTTTTGTGTTTTTTCGTGTTTTTTTCTTTCCTCTGTGTTTTCTTGGCATCAAAGTAACCCATATTTCACTTTAGTTTAACTGAATTACTTTTTAAGATCAAGATGTTTTGTCCAACCGTTGATCGTAAAACTCTCTCTAACGCGAGATCATCTCGCGACATCATTTGAGACATAATGAGACATCATCCTACTCGACTGACCTATCAATGTATCAGCGAACCTATCAATGTCAACATTGTCACAAATTGTTTGGTCGAATGGGTAACTTAAAGCCGCATGATAGACTCACACACTCTGTGAAAGGCCTTTCGAATGCAAAATATGTTTCAAATCATTCATTTAATTAGCTCATCTACAGAAACATGAGCATACCGACGAAAAAAAACCTTTCAATGTGGTCTTTGTTTGAAAATTAAATAACCAAAAAGCTTGTCATGCCTACCAATGATAGCAATAATGAACCGATTATTACGTTAAGGAATTTTATGTTTTTTATTATCTAAAATTGTTTCCCATTGTTTACCTATCAATCTCTAGATTTTCATAAATCAAAGAGCAATCCCAATTAAAAGTCACTAAAAATTTGTATATATTATAATATAATCTTACACGGGTCTCACTAAAAAACCAAAGACGACCAAAAAACCAAAATGTGACCAAAATAACCAAAACACAAACAGAATGACCAAAATGTACCAAAACAAGGTAAATCTTTCGATTTATAATTTGAGACTTTAGGATGTTTGTAGGGACACAAAAACTGAGTCCATTAGTGCCATCAAAAAATTTCTGTGATAGACAGTTTTCGAGAAAATCGAAGTTGAAGTTGCAACCACGAAAGCCTGTTGTTCACTTATTTAACCGTATTTTTTCATCAAATCATGTTATTTCATCGAGTTTTATCGATGGCACTAATGGACTCAGTTTTTGTGTCCCTACAAACCCCTTAAAGTCTCAAATCATAAATCGAAAGATTTACCTTGTTCTGGTCACATTTTGGTTTTTTGGTCGTCCTTGGTTTTTTAGTGAGACCCTAAACTTACTCCTGCTGAAACCTCAAAAGATTTATCGATATGCTTGGATACCAAACAATGCGCCATAGATATGTATCGAGGTCTAACTCCATTTTCGCAGCTGTACTGACTGATCGACTAACTCAGGAGCAAATCGCTGAATTCAAAGAAGCCTTTTCATTTGATAAAGATGGAGACGGGGAAATCACCACCGCGGAATTGGAAACTGTTATGAGGAGTCTTGATCAAAATCCAACAGAAGCGGAATTAAAAGATATGATTAACGAGTTTGATGACGATGGTAATGGTTTGCCTGAATTCTTATCTATGATGGCTAGAGCAATGAAGTATACGAACTCTGTGGAGGAAATCCGTGTTTTTGATAAAGATGGTAATGGTTTTATTTCTGCTAAAGAATTTAGATATGTAATGACCAATTTGGGTGAAAAATTAACAGATGAAGAAGTAGATGAAATGATTCTTGAAGCCGATATTGACGAAGATGGTCGAGTTAATTATGAAGAATTTGTGAAAATTATGAAATGTAGCTAATTTGCTGACTTAAATTTTGATTTATAATAAACTGTTCTCTTGTAGCAGAAATGAATAAGCTCGGTAATTTTCTTGTCAAAACTCTTGATTCTGACCGACAATAGTCCGGTCAACTTTACAAGCGCTTGTAGAGTTTGAATAGCAAATCAGCGAATCTCATATTAATCGTTCATCAATCAATTAGGAACCTTTGATACCAATTGTTCACAATTGTGCAATTTTTTTAAATCAAAAGATGAGATACTTTGCTTGCTATTTGTTAGCTTCTTGATGTCTTGTTACTTCATTTTAAGGGCATTAGGCAGTCATTTGAGATCCTGTTCAAATTAATATGCTCATAACTTCCGGTATCTGGTACCCCTCTGTAACTCGCTGTTGTAGTTATCGCAACTTCATTGCGTAGTCATTACAAAATTCATTCAGAGTGTTAACCATCTTTGAACGTTAATATAAATCAGAATATAAATCAAAACGAAGCAAGACAGTTGATAGACTCAATCGCCGATGATATTGGAACAAGAGAAGGTTGATTGACTCAATCGCCGGTGTAACTTACCTCATCTCAATGGAACAAGAGACTGTGCATGTCAAGATGAGGCCATTGAGTCTATCAACTGTCTCGAAATAATTTGTTCATTGCACCGTTTCAATTGTTTATGAAGTGTCTTGCCATTTATTATCCAAGATAAAAGTTCTTAAGTCTGGGGTTAAGCATTTGTTTATATCGCATTTTTTTGTCCAACTATCAACATTCAAAAGATTCTGAAGAGGTTTGTAAAACTTATATTTATCTTATTGCGTCATCCTCATATATTCCATGGGCATAATATGAATAACTTGGACTAGAAAATACTAATCTTATCTGCAGCTTTGTTTTCCTAGAATAGTGTCTTCTTCCATTTATCTACTCACTTGAAAATTTTGCAGTGATCACATGCAGATTAAATTTTTCAAGACAATAACTTTTTTTTTGGAATTGAGTTATTCGAAATATGTCTACAATGGATAATGACTTTAGTCCTGGTGGTAAATGGTATCGACTACTTTATGGTGATGATAATCCACGAGTGATGAGTGATCCTGCAACGTTGAAAAGAATTAATACCAGCCGCTCAATGGGTTAAGGATGGATTGAAGAAAAGTTTCGTAAACCAGATTATGTTGATATTTATATTTCTAAAAATGAACGGGTCACTCTGGACGCGCGCTTCTGGCACGTTTTCAATTTAACTGATGTTTTACCTAAGAACCTTCTTTATAATAGAAAATATGATTGGAAGAGTGATGCTTTCTCGACTATTCAAGATTGGATGATACACCGGATCCATAATCCTTCATCTCGAGGAAAACTTACACCATGGGACAAATATTTCTTCAGATCCATTCGTCCTCATTGCGTTGCGGATCTTCAAACAATCGCACATGATCTAAAACTTAATCTTTTGATCCGAGCTCTAAGTACGCTTCTAACTGATTCATCTTTTACACAAGTTACAACTTATGTGCCGAGCATACCAATTGCATTCTACCGACTTCATGTCGCAAATTTACCAGAAAATGTCATTTCAAGACAGTTGATAGACTCAATCGTCGATGGATTCGTAAAAAGAGATTGTTTAGTCATGCCGACTATTGTTACTCTATTGCGTAGTCATAGACAATTGTTAGACTCAATCGTCGATGTAACTCACCTCATTCGGCATTAATTCCTGGTTTAAATTAATAGACCAATGAATTTAATACATCAATTTAGACAGGTAATTAGGATCCTTGATGGATGTGTTGCCTTGTTTAAATAAATCGAGTTTTGATCGAGAATTAGCTTCGAATAATCGATTTTCTCTACGAAAAAAAAATTTGGATTACTCAAGATTACACATTTGTTGCTAAAATTTATTTTGTAGCTTCGAAATATGTTTATTCAGAATGATCATTTTATCAAAATTTTTTCAATTGGGAATCAAGTACTCCCTGATTTGGTTAAACCAAGAAAATTGTCAAGATTCATTCGGATTAGATGGTGGAAATAATTGTAACTCTTTTAAACACCAATTTTTCTGCAAATTTATTAATACGAATATTTTATTGAAACCTAAAAGGCCAGTTGAACATGTAGCATAACTTGTTTAATGGATGTTACAAAAAGAAAGGATAATTGTTCAAAAAAGTCTGTATGAAGGTGGGTAGGCAACAATTTGACTTCTTTTATAATGAGCAACAGCAAACTTCCATCCAAGTCGATCAAAACAATCGATAAGTTGATCATCCAATTCTCTAGATGGTTTGTTTTCTTGCTGTTTCATGACTGCTTTAAGGGCTCTTCCAAACTGGTGTTTTTCAAGAGCGTGCTGGTAAACAAATTTATGCCATTTTGTGTTATTCAATTCATCCATTTTTTTCAAGTCTTGAACAATTTTGTCTAAATCTTGAATGGTGTACTTTTGGGTAGCACTGGAGCCAGAAGATGCTTCCGATCTAATTATTTGTAAAATGGCCATTCCCTTTTGCGCCAAGGCTTCACATAACCATTCTTTTTGTTTTTCTAGGTTTTTTAAAGTCTCGTCCTTCTTTCCAGGTTCATCGCCCGATGTTTTGTTCTTGTTTTTGGCAAGTAAAAGGCCGCCATAGAAGTCATCAATATTGTGTGATGCAATTATTTCATCCGCTAACTCGATAATTTTTGAATATTGCTTATTTTCATCTTTAGATGCGTCAAGAGCCTGAATCTGAGCAATGATTAGAGCTTGTTTTTTATCAGGCTTAAGATTGTCGGTATCAGAAAGTATATGTTCATAACCACTGCCATGAAATCTGTAAATAGATAGAATTTAAACATTCAGCAAATTAATAAAGATCATATTATGTTTTCAAAATAAATTGTGATAAGAAATTTTCATACTTAGCAATCCAATTAGCTTTGAAGTCCACTAAGGCATCTCTATATTGTTCTTCTACTGGCTTTTCTTCAACAGTTTCTTTAACAGCTTTTTTAGGAGCTTCAGAATCCAAAACATAGTAGAAAGGATAATCTTGAGTTTTTTTCTTGCCTTCGTCCTTTTCTAAACTAATTGCACCACAGAGATAAGAGCCTGAAATGCTAGGCAAATTCTTCGGAATTTTATCAGCCGCAAAAGATCTTATGAATGCATTAAGCTGTTGTTTCTCTCCAATCGATTGACTAGCAAATTGTTTTCCTTCAAGCAAAAGCTCTTTGTAAGATGGATAGATATCAAGACTGGCAGATGAAGGAAGCTTGGTCACTAAATGAATAGGAGCTTTGTTAATTTTTTTGAGTAGATTAACATTTTCAGAACGAATTTGTAGTTTGACAACGTAATCTCCTTTTTCTAATTTTTTGCTATACCGGTCAAATTTGTAAATAGTTCGAGAAGGAAACGGTCCACCACCCATCATAAACTGTTTATTGGCATTAAAGACCTGCCATAAATGACTATGATATTCATCCTCGTAAAGAAGAGTGTCCAAAAGAGGGAAAATACACGTAGTTTCAGCCGCCTTGGGAAGATTGAAGTTGTAAGTTAAAAGTAACTGATGAATTTGACGACCTCCTGGCATCACATCACGCGAAGATAGGGGAGAAATGATTTCTTCAGATGGTTTCAATGGCGAGACTACATGGTTAAGTGCAATTTTGGGTTGAATACGATCATTAGGTGAAGACCCAAAAATTTCAATTTTATGATAATTTGAGCTAGCAAACATTGTTACATCGCTAGAGTTGAGTTTGCAACCAGAAAATTCTATCGAATATGAAATCAACGCATCTCCGAAACTCGACCACCATTTAGTGATGGCAACATCAACAGTTTTATGGTCCCAAATCGGGAATTTAAGAGATGCTTCAGCTCCAGGAAGCAAAGAAAAATCTGAATTCAAATTTTTACCCCAGCCTTGAGGAATCAACTGACGTACACTGGCTATGCAAGTTCCAGTAGCAATGGTGCCAATGTTTTTAACTTTGACTGTAACGACTGACGAGCCAGTGGGTGGAGTGAAGTGTGTAAAATTAGGTACACCTGGTTTCAATTCGAGCTGATTCCATTGAGATTGCATTGAGGTAGGATCTACAGTCATCGGCTTGATAACGGTGATAGGAAGTTTGAATACAAAACCTTTCTCAGGATTGGTAGAATCAAAGGCTTTCAAATGAGTAATGTGGGAGCCATAAGAGAGACCAGATGGATCAACTTTGACAGTTATGTTTCGTTTACAATTTGTTACTAGTAAATAACCTGGAATTTGTACCCAAGGCGCATCACAGGTAAAGAATAGTTTCATCTCAAAATCACCCTTGATCTTATTATCATAGTCATCATGATTCAAGAAGAATGGTTGAATTGATACAATGTGGACTGACTGACGGATGGTATCTGTCGACTCTCGCAAATAAATACCTTGTTTTCCGCCGTTACAAGTAACACTGAATCTGACATCACGTTCAATTGAATCAGCAAATTTGGCACAGTGATCAAAAGCTGGGTCAATTTGAATGAGCCCATTGTTCATAGAGAAAGGATCATATGTTGGTGGTTTGTAAGCAGTATTTTCAATGGAACGTCTTACAGAAAAGGGAGAGTAAGGCAAGTTTTTCTGTTTCATTCCAGATAAGAGTAACGCTATACATCCGGTTGCATTGGGTGCTGCCATAGATGTTCCGTTAAAAAGCTCACATTTTGCTAAAGTTGCTCGCGATACAGAGGCAATCGCAGCTCCAGGAGCACAAACACTGATAGAATTACCACCTTCAATATTGGGGTCTTTGGATGAGAAAGTCAAAATTCTGCCTGGAATTTTTTCCCGAGTAGAGTATTCGGCTTCCATCATTTCAGGACTAACATATGCTCCAATACCTGAAAAATTAGGTGAAAAAATAAAATAATTACACTTGAATGCAACCCATCACAATAAATAAAACTTACTGATGAGAGAATCTGGCATAGAAGATGCAGAGGACGTCGAAAAATTTGGTCCATCATTTCCATCTGCAACAACGAAAATAATTCCGTGCTTTTCAACTACTTCATTTAGAAACTCGAAACAACGGCCACCAGCCCATTGAATAGGTTCACCAAAGCTCATGTTGATAACATCAACTTTCGCTTCGATGGCTCGCAAGCAAGCTCTGATTATTGAAGCACTTGTTTCCATTCCACCTCCAAGGCGACTATTTCCAATGTTGATACTGATTAATTGAGCACCAGGAGCAACGCCATTCTTTTCAGGTTCTTCGGGAAAATTTGCAGCAGCAATAGCGGCAACGTGTGTACCATGATCACCCGATATGCAATTTATTTCCAGTAAATTACCGTCATCGTAAATGTTAACCGAGTAATTGTGCTGATCTAGATGAACCAAGCAAAGATAAATTGTAGTAAAAATATTCGATAAAATATCAATAAAGTAATAATACCTCTGTCAGTGAGAGTCGCATATTCCAATGTATCTTTATAAGTACCAAGAACAGTGCATTTTTCTAGATCTCCAGTTTGAGTAACATCAACACAAGCTCTAAAAAATAGATTAGAAAATGAAAGGCCTTGTTTTCACGTGCTAAGTAGTAAGTGAAATAATTACCTCCACATTGTGCCATCATGAAAAACAACACAATCATAGGTAGGTCCCAAATCAGAATAATTTTCTTCTAATGAATTCAGTACATCAACTTTTCCTTGTAAGTCTTCTTTTAGCAATTGATTCTCAAATGTTTTGTCACCATCACTTGATAGCTGAATTTCATTTCCTGTTTTAATTTGAGATGCTGCTGTTGATTCAGTATCTTTAGGGACAGTTGCTTTCTTTTTTTCTTTTTCTTTAGCTTCAAACTCTTGAAGTTCGCGTAAACTGATAGTTTTAGCATCAGAAAAAGCAGAATTCCAATTGTTACGTTGGTATTCTGCCTTTATACGACTACAAGCGTTTTTAGCATAAAGTTCGTAACCACTCTTGAATCCAATATGCCATTTTCCTGTAGGATTAGTCCACGAACTTGGAATTTTGAGCTTTCGTCCCGTTAAGCCAGTAATAATGTTACTTCCTTCATCACAAGTGACAACAGTTGAAGTATCTACATCATGATCACCAGTGGCTGATATTATGTCGATTATTTTAGGTTTTCCATCGGACGTTACTTGGAGACCAGCAGCTCCTGGATCAACTCCCGTATCAAAAATGGCGATAACAACTTGTTTCCCATCAGCATTTGGATATTTATTGATGAAAGATAAGGCTGTTGTTTCTTTCTTAGGCAAAAGAGAAATACTAGGGAAAGGGTCAACAGAATTAGCACTGGACATGTTTCGTTGGCTGATGGCGACTGAAAAAAATAAAAATTGTGAAGATTAAAATCAATCAAAAAAGTCAAATTAAGCTTGAAAAGGACGAAAGGAAAGCTATAAGGATAAGTAATAGTGGATTAAATAAAATGTGAAAGGTTCATTGGAAATAAATCTGCAGTTGGAGATAATCTGCAAACGATCATAAAAATGAGATTATGCTGTGTTGATAGAAAAAGTAACCGCAGGTTACTGAAATAGGGCAAAGTAGAGGAGCTAAAAAGGGAAGCTATGTAACTAAAAAGCATGATTAAAACGACAATTAAATACAGGCAATTAGAGATAAAGTCAGTTTGCAAATCCCTTATTATCGTTGAATCAACTTCACTGAACAATAATAAATCATTTTTTATCCCGATTAAGCAGCAGCATAACAGGCCATAACAACAGCAATAGTTCGTCTGACAATCACAAGATATTGAAAAGACTTTGCTTTTAAACCTCAGAGCAACAAGCTGTAACCATAAAAATTCCATAAAATTAAGGGTTACAATTGCAAGTATGAAAACTTCAGTTGGCTAAATCAGTCAATGGTGAAGTCAATTAATGAGAACATTTCTCTGCAAAATTTGTATCAGGTACCAGAAATTGAGCATAATTAGGGCTGTAAACTTAAAAGATATCTATAAAATGATAATATTCAGAGGAAGAGTGCATAAAAGTGGCAGCAGTTTGAGGTCAGGTTATCAGCAGTGATCCAGAATAGAAATATTTAAAATAATATTTAATGAAAGGTCAACTTACCAAAGGTAGAAGGGGTAAACGATGACACTGAAGATGATAAGCCTAATTTAGCTAAGTTAAGTAACCTACCGTTACAAAGGCAATAAATCTTGTAAGCAGCAATGATTAACTAAATTATGCATCCAAAATTAAACAATTTATTGTCTATAAGTAACTGCAAGTCACACAAAACATGAGATTTTATTGAATTCAGAAAAGATGAGATAACTATAATTATGTAAGAAAGCTTAACAAAAAATAAGCTGTTTTTATGTAAGAGCCGAGAAGCTAAATTTCGGCTTAAAAGCAAGATAGCTCTTTAAATAAGTTAATCTGTTAGATGAATAAATTGATCAAATAAATTAAGGTCGCAACTAATAATAATTTAAAGATTTGCAGAAGTTCTAAATAAAGAATGGTCATTATTTTTAATTATGCATAGATTATTGAAGAGATTATTAATTTAAACCTCATTCAGAGTGCATTGGAATTGGTTATTCTATTTGAAAATTTGATTCATCAAACTTTTATTGATTGTAATTAATTAAGGTTAAATTTCAAGCTATCAGAGAAAATTAATTGTGATTTGAATCAACATTTATTTTTTTATTTTAATTGATTAAGATGAAAACGATTTATCGAAATGAACAAGAGGCTGGTTTGCTGTGAAAATAGACATTTTCCTTATTTATAGCGCAGTTGCAAAAAAAAGATTTAGTTGTTTCCGCTGTAAATCTAAAACAGAGTAAGCTTTCTTCACTTCATCTTTAAACAATAATCTAATTGTTAACTTTTTAGGTAAGTTTCTCTTTATTATTTTATTTAATTAATAATTATTCTGTGTGCTATATCATGGATCTGTATTCTAGCTGTGTTTTTATTAGAACGCACAGAATTATATCATGGTTAACTGTTGGAGTTTGACATTTTGATTTTGATTTTCATTTTTTGCCTTTTCTTTTCTCTAGGTAGCTTTTGGTTAAGTTATTAAGTTAAATAATTTACAATGAGTGGACGTAACACTGGAGTAAATGTTAGCCGAGATCTTCTCTGGCTTTTCACCAAAAACCATAACTGTAACATCTATAAACAAAAAGGAATCAAAGTACCATTCACCAAGGATCCTCTTAACCCCAAGGGTGTTCAAACTCTTCGATGGTCCGGTAGTATTCAACGAAAAACCCTGAGTGTTACTCCTCATCCTAAAGGTAAAGGTGTTGTCCTCGTATACCGCAAACGCAAGTACCAAATGATGCCCAAAAAAGCTTTGCAACGAGTACCTCTCTTAAAAGACAACAGACGGTCCTATCGAAGCATTAAGAAATTTGTTAACCGCAACTTCTACCGAACCGACCTTAAAATGGTAAATATTTCTTTCAGTTACATAGATGATTATATTTTATTTACTGCTACCTTGTTCAGTTGCTTAATCTGTTCTCATCTTTTTCTTTTCAGACTGTTCTCCGTAAAGCCAGTGCTATTCTTCGTAGTCAACAACCTCGAATCCACAGGAAGAGAAACAAGCGAGCAAAGAAAGCCGAATAGACTTTGGTTAACCTCTGTATAACCAGTTTGGTCATTAAATTGATAATTATCGCTTACAAATTAAATTTCTCAATAATTTAGTTCATTTAATTCATTAACTCTTTTTATTGCGTGTTACCTAGTTTCTTCTTTATTATAGTTAGAATCTTGATAATTTTAAAATTTTAACGATTATAAAGCTCATTCAGATATTCTAATATCTGATAGCTTGTATTGAGTCTGTTGAAAGGCGGCGGAAAATGTAATATGATTATTTCATTATCGTTCTGAGTTGAAACAAATCTTTGCTAATCTTACTGGTAGACGATTGAATTCAGTCTTAAAGAACTATGATCCAATTATCTGGCCAGGACTCGTGATTTATCTAATTGAAAAAGAAATTAAATTGCTCACTTAATCGGGACTGTCCGCTACTCATGGTTTAGAGAAACCGAATTAATAAGTAGACTTGTAATCCCATCTATCTCAGTCATTCGTATGCAATTGATTTTGAAGAGAAGTTTTAATTTATGGACTATTTCCAGGGGGGAACAAGGTATTAATTAAGCTGTATGCAATTATTGGAAATATAATATTACTCGAAATCATAATTTGATACAATTATGGAAAACTTTAGAAATGTTATGGTTCTTACGTTTTTGGTCTATTATATTTTGTTGTTTCGTTTTAAAAACCAGGAGTTTTCTCATGAATATTCAAGTGATCAAAGTGATCATAGATATAGTTTTAATTCGGCACTCAAAATCAATACAACCTTGGTCGCACAAAATAGTTCTTGAACTTTGTCTGTATCTTGAAAAGAAAAGCACTTTACTCTTTGACTAAAAGTCACACTTTTGAAGCTACATTAGCAGTCGCAGTCACTCAAAATCACATGTTTATTTTTCAAACTAACCAGCTTTACTCAACCACAACCGTCTTCCTAATTTATCGTGTTTACATTTAATTAAATTAATAAATATGGCAGTTTTATTCGAAGATATTTTCGAAATCAAAGACATTGACCCTGAAGGAAAAAAGTTCAACAGAGGTAAGATAACTAGATGAATTAAAATGTCTCGTATCTCAGCTGTTGGTTTTTTGGTTGTTTTTAAAGGATTCAAATTTATATTATTTTTATCGTTAATATTATGACTTTTGTTTTATTTCTTAGTCAGTCGTATCCATTGTGATAGTGAATCTTTCAAGATGGAACTGATTTTGGATGTCAATTCCCAAATTTACCCTGTTGAATTAGGTAAGTTAGTCAAGATTTATGTTTCGATTCTTATATTCAACTCTGCTGTATTATAATGGAAAACATTGATTGGATTGTCTCATGTTTTAATTAGGTGACAAATTTCGACTAATGATTACAATTACCTTGCGAGAAGATGGCTTTCCTACCGATAATGAATGGTCCTCTGAAGAAACTAAATCAGTCTTGGCGGATTCATTTGAATACGTAATGTTTGGTAAAGTCTACAGAATTGAGGGAGATGAAGGTCCTGGTGATGCATCTAGATTGTAAGTGACTTCAAGCTTAATCATTTTATTCAATTTTCATTTACTAATTTTTATTTTCTCTTGCAAAATCGCACATTTACCAGAGCTACCTATGTTTCTTTTGGAGGATTACTAATGAGATTACAAGGCGACCCAAACAATTTACATGGTTTTCAAATGGATCAGAATGTATATTTATTGATGAAAAGACTCGCTTTCTAAATTCATTTGTTAAAATTCGAATCGAATGACCAACACTTTCACTCGTTTTCGTATCCATCTACAACTCATCTTGTTAAAATCAAAGCGCTCACCTTTCACTAAAACCAACATTAAACCAATAAAGAATCAAGTAAAACAGGTTACATAGCTGTAATCTCATTACTTCGGTTCAAAATAATTTCTCATGATAGTTGCTTTTCACATTTAATGAATATTTGTCAACTACAACTTCATTGGAACGATAAATCTAAAAATATTTATGAAAACATATTGAAAGATGAATTTTACTGAATTATAAGTCATTACCTAGACGAATTGAATTATTTGAGACAGAAGGAACTACCTTTTGCAAATCATACAAGATCATCATGTAAGAAAATCAACTATTCAATACTTCTAAAGTTTTTTTCTAGGCTGAGCTTTCGTCAATTTTGGATGAGCTGATCAAAGCTTATCATGAAAACATTCAATTCTTGAAAACCAAAGTACTCACCATCTCTTAATGTTAGCTATCTGTAACAATATTTTAAAACTTTTCTTTATTTTCCAAATCTTTGATGGTGATTCAATCAGGGATAAGGTGTTAGTCTCAGGGAGAAAGAAGATCGCTGAACCAGGTAAATTAAAGGAAAAACAATATAAGACAATCAGATTAGGGTTTAATAAACCATTGAACAAAAACAAAGAAAAATCCGTTAAACAAAGAGCTAATGGGGGTAAAAAGATAGGCAGAAAAATAAGACAAATTAAAATAGAGAGAAAGAGGGAAGGAAAGATTGAAAAGAAAGATGAAAAAGAAAGAGAACTCACCTTGAGACAATCGACTTTTTGCGTTACTTCAACACTCAAACCTTTTGTCACCTTTTTCAATTGAGTACATTTAGTTCAATCCCCCTTGGACAATTAATACCAAGTCAACACCATTAAAATTAGTTGACACTCCATTTTATCTTTTGCTATCCTTTTTCACCCAGTTGATCATTCTCATTACTGGACATATTCAATAAACTGATAAACAGATCAACATTGTTTACGTATATGCAAATATTCCTATTAGTGTTTCATAAAACTATTCATGAGTAATTCATGAACATCTAATGTTATTGTGTACACGGAGATATTATAGTGCAAAATCAACACAGAAATAATCCAGTTACATAACAGTATAACGATTATTGTGATCATATGTGGACAAATATTTATCTCATGATGATCGATTGTCACTGAACCATCTCTCCGTGATTTTTGGCTGAAATCCCATCTAAATCCCATTCTAAACACTGATTTCCTGATGATGAATTGTACTATCTTCCTTTAACGTCCATTATACATTTGTTAGCTCAATATGATTCCATTTCGGATTATTGCAATCATTATTTGTGCATCTTTTTTATCAATAACCAATAGTTTCAAAAATGGAACCTCGCCATCGAAGTCTCCATCAGCACTGCCGTCATCAATAACTTCAACATCACCAAATGAGCAAGTAAGTTTTAAATTTTTGAAGTTCAGAAGATGAAGACTTTTTCCGTTATAAGTTGAGTCTAACCTTAATGTTTCAACTTTATCAGACTATATCTGTAAACCAAACACAAATTTTCCCACTCTCCGAAATTCACCAAGAATTGCTGTATTATTTATATTCTTAACCTTTTTCTTTCTCACCGTTTATCGCTTTTAGTTTGATGAATTACCAGAACCGATTCTACCAAATACTGGTCCTGGTGGATTTTATGATGGTAACCTAACAGCACAAGAAAACAAGTATCATGCCACAATTGATGATGACTTTATAACAAGCCCATTGACTTTTAGTGGTAAACATTATACTCGATTTGGTGGAGCTCCAGTCCATGAAAAGATCAATGTTTTAACTGCTGGTAAAAAGGGTCCTCTTCTTATGGAAGATATTACCTTTTTTGAAGAAATGAGCCATTTTTCTCGAGAACGAATACCAGAAAGAGTTGTCCATGCCAAAGGAACGGGCGCATTTGGCTATTTTGAAGTGACCAATCCACATGTAACTGCTTTCACTAAAGCATCTTTCCTTTCCAAACCTGGTAAACGGACTAAAGTTGCTGTAAGATTTTCAACTGTTGCTGGAAGTAAAGGATCAGCTGATACTGTTCGGGATCCTCGAGGATTCTCTGTTAAACTATACACTGATGAAGGAAATTTTGATTTACTGATGCTTAATTTTCCAGTCTTCTTTGTTAGAGACCCACTAAGGTTTTTCAACTTCATTCACAGTCAAAAGAAAGATCCTCAATCAAACCTAATCAACTATGATTACTTTTGGGATTACATTTCACTAACCCCTGAAACTCTACATGCAGTTTCATATCTATTTACCGACCTCGGTACACCAGATGGATATCGACACATACATGGCTTTAGCTTGAGCACATTCAAATTGGTTAATCGGTATGATAAAGTCGTCTTTGGAAGGTGGCACTTTCTGACTAATCAAGGAATCCGTAATTTAACTGCTGACATAGCTACTAAATTGGCAGGATCTAATCCAGATTATGCCACTGAAGACTTATTCAAAGCAATTCATGCTGGTAATTATCCTTCATGGAGAGTTTGTATCCAAGTTATGACCCAAAAGCAAGCTCACAAGTGGAAACATAGTCCTTTTGACCCTACAAAAGTGAGTACAATCGAGAGAAAATTCACACTTTTCGATCTCAAAAATCAATCAACGAAATAATATTGATACTAAATTATCAATTAATGTAGTCGAGTAACTTAATTATGCGAAATCATTATATACTGACCTTGTCTGCAGTGTAAATGACAGTTTTATTTAAAATCGGCTAAGAATCGATTAGAAACATTTAAATCATAATTACAATTCAGTAACCCTGTAATTAAATATACAAGTATGTAAACAAACCAGACTAGGTTAAACGTCTGGTCGGTGACATCGTAAAGTAATTACTATAATAGGCCATATTAAAGTTAATGAATTTAGGAAAAGTGCAACTTGATCACAAGGTAATTGCATTAAAGTGATTCTAATAATAGGTGAAAGTTATTATTTTTAATCGAATGCCAACAATGCTTTTCAATGAAACAATGTTGCCATTTTTACACCAAATATCCTTTTGACTCAAGTAAAGCTAGAGATATGATCATAACTTCAGTCCATTTCCATCGTTTCGAAAACCTTGAACTGAAGAAGCATTGTGTAAATGATTTAACTACTTTCTACTTTGATTCACCCAGTTCGATAATTAAACTAATTTGTTAAGACAAAACACCACACAATTTGAATAATAGATGTAAAAGTATAAATTAGTCAGAAACAATGAAATTTTTGTTCCAATTTGATTATTTTCATTTTCTTTTCATTTCAATTGAATAGCGGAAAGTGAAGAGTTATTAAAAATCACTAATTTCTTACCATTCGTTGCTTCTTTTGTGTACAGTTATGGCCTTTGAAACATTTCCCTCTCATCGAAGCTGGTAAATTGGTATTAACACACAACCCTAAAAACTTCTTCGCTGATATTGAACAATTAGCTTTTAATCCAGCAAATCTTGTTCCTGGAATTGAACCATCAACTGAAAAGATTCTCCAAGGAAGATTAGTTTCTTACCATGAAGCTCAAAGTTACAGGTTGGTGAAAATAATGAGAAAATTTAATCTAAATGGTTTCATTAATATTTGTCTCGTCTCTTCCAGACTTGGAACCAACTTTTTCAAGCTTCCCGTTAATCAAGCAGCTTCTGATACTGCTTATCCAAATATCAGAGACGGTGGTTACTGTTATGATGATAATGGTGGAAAAGGACCCAATTATTTTCCAAATTCATTTGATTTTAAGAAGGAAGATGAAACGGAGAAACCGAGTAAATGGAAACTACCGTCTTATGTTGAAGTAAAAAGATATGATACAACCCATGATGACAACTATTCTCAGGTATATTTGTTTAAGAATTGAAATTTTCAGTTAAACAGTTCATTGTACTAAGCTAATTCTTGTCTTCTTTTGTTTAATTCATCCTTTTGTTGCTTATTTTTACAGGTTTCCAAATTTTGGGAGGCATTGGCACCAAAAGATCGGGATCATTTGATTTACAATTTGAGTACTCATTTGAAGCGGGCCAAGAAATTTATTCAAGAAAGATTCTTGTATCATGTACGAATAGCTCATCCAGAGTATGGTCATCGTTTGAAAGAAGCACTGGACTTTTTTGCTGGTAAATAAGCTAAAAGAGTTGGATACTTAAAGACTCAATTTTGGACTCCAATCATTTTGAAACATGTTCAGATTGTGTATGGTTTTTGCATCAATATTTATTTTTGACCTCACAATTGGACTGATCAAGGAAAGAAAATTATATCGACGAAAATTTACCAGTTTTCAAGAAACTTACATTCTTAAATTATAAATGGTTGCCAAAGTTTTGAATACAAATGAGCATTTTGAAGCTTTATCGTCATCTTTCGTCTATTCCAGTGTTTATTGAGTTAAGAGCTGGTTAACTTGTAATGCACGAGACTTGATTGAAACAAAACTTTTCATTTGTTTATAATTTTTTGTATTGATCAAAAGATTTCGAGCAAACACAATTCAATGCTGTAAAATCTGCAAGAGAAAATGCCTTTTTAATCATTTTTCTCGACATCACCATTTTCAATACCATCAATCCAGTTATTCTTTCAGCTTCATAATGTAATTAACCAATCATAAGATCTGTAAAACATTGTAAATCGACTGTTATTTAGCTAATGAAATTATTTGTCCTACTCTTCACGCTTTCAACTAGGCGCCAATACAAATAAAGCAAAAATGAAAACAAAAGCAAAATGAATAATTAAATAGAATGAAACTCAGGCTTGTTTCATGCTTTTGCCTATTTTACGAGTTATACGCATTTTACGGCTAATATTTTAAAAATGGGGTTTAATCACTTCTTATAAAAGGTTTGTGAAAAGCTTGGTACAATTTTTCTGCTTTTAATGGTCCTAGACCTGGACATAATCCTAAAGTTTCGGCATCGGATTTTACTATCTTTTCAAATGACTCAAAATTGGATATGAGAGACAGTGAATCAGTTTTATTGATGGATTTGACGCTTGATAGAGCCTCGATCACGCACTTGTGTTTGTCCTCAGTTCCATTTATATTAGCAAGCTGCTTTTCCATGATCATAGCAGGAGACTTTTTCTCAAAAAGCTTATAATGTTCAATCATCCTAGACGCTTCTTCTGGTGACCAGCAACACATCAAGGTGAAATCCGCCATAATTGAAACTTTAGCTAATTCTTTCAAACTTGCATTTGGATCTACTACATCCACCAAAACTAATAAGACTTGCAATTGATATGATTTGCCAACTTGTTGCATTCGATCGTATATATAATGAGGATATTGGGTGTGATGTTTAAGTGTCATATAAAGAGCACATGTAGTTTGACCAAGAATAAAATCAGGCACAATATCATTAAACATCCAACGGACACTCTTTATTCCAGCCAGAATAGCATTATTCTTCAACCTCGGATTCACTTGAACCACGTTTGGTGTTAAAATAGTGGCTGAGGTGGAAGGTCCAGCGGTAGTTGTCATTTCAGACTGTTGTAGTAAAAGTTTTTAACAAAATATATCGTGAATAATCACCAAACAAAACAATGTTTAATAAAACAAAATAGTCTTGAGCAGAAAACACTTGTTATGTGTAGATACAGCTAATTCATACAAAATTCAACGAATTAGAAAGACAAGAACATATTTAAGTCTTTGGATTTTCAGAAATATTCAAAATATAAGAAAAAATATAGATAGCTTATAGAGAAATTGTTGTCTAACTGATTAATTTGTTTACATTAATCAATGTAAACAAAGAAACATTTTTGATTTGCTCCTTTGAATTTACCGCTGTATTTGGCTTTGCTGTCATCTGTTGTTCATCACATGCAACAAATTATGTGCAGCTGATAAGTGGTTTGGTTGGTTGGTTAAGATTGATTGTCAAATAAATTAATTTATAAACTTAAACTGTTTAAGATGGATTTAGATGTTATCGCTAATCAACCGATTGTTATCGACAATGGGTCTGGTGTTATCAAAGCTGGATTCGCTGGTGATCAAGTTCCAAAATGTATCTTTGCCAACATGATAGGTAAACCAAAACATCTTCGGGTGATGGCCGGGGCTCTTCAATTGGATAATTTTATTGGTAAAAAGGCTGAAGAGCATCGTGGTTTATTGACAATCAAATATCCCATGGAACATGGTATTGTCACTGATTGGAATGAGATGGAAAAGATTTGGAGCTATATTTATGCAAAAGAGCAACTTCAGACATTCCCAGAGGAACATCCCGTGCTTCTCACTGGTCAGTTCTTTACAGTTAACTTAATTAGAAAAACGATTGATACTATTGATTGATTAAGATTTAAAAATACAACTGACTATTCTTCATTTTAACATTATGCTAATATTTTTTTTCAACTTGCTTGTATTCCACAGAGGCTCCTTTAAATCCAAGAAGGAACCGTGAAAGAGCTGCCGAAATTTTCTTCGAAACATTCAATGTACCCGCTCTCTTTATATCAATTCAAGCCGTCCTTAGTCTGTATGCTACTGGTCGAACCACCGGTGTTGTTTTGGATTCAGGTTAGATCACTGTTATAATCAAAGAAATTTAATGTCTTCAACTGTTTTTCAACTTATTTTAGGCGATGGTGTTACTCATGCAGTGCCTATCTATGAAGGCTTCGCTCTACCTATGTCTATTGTTAGGTCTGATATTGCTGGTAGAGATGTAACCAGATATTTGAAGCTTCTGTTAAGGTAAATACAAAATCAACAATTTATCTCTTTACTTAAACTAATGATTTTTTATTTTCCACTCAGAAAGGAGGGTCTTATTTTTAATACCACCGCTGAGTTTGAAGTGGTTAAAAATATAAAGGAAAAAATTTGCTACATCACTAGCAACCCTCAAAGGTAAGTTCAGAACTATAATCAATACTAGTGCATACCTCTTACATCATTATTTAATTATTTTTCAGGGTACTTGATGATCTTTCTGCTACAAATAATGAGCTAGAGAAAACCTTGTACACTCTTCCTGATGGAAATCATGTTGAGATTGGAGCAGGTCCTAGGGTTAGAGCTCCTGAAATTCTTTTTAGGCCTGATATTATTGGTTGTGAATTCGAAGGAGTTCATGATGTTTTGGCTTACAGTATACAAAAATCCGATATGGACCTACGTAAAGTTTTCTACCAAAACATTGTTCTCAGTGGAGGAAGCACTTTAATAAAAGGTTAGTTACTTGCAATCGTCAGCCATAAATTTCGTGATTTTCATTCCATATTGCTTTTTTATTAGGTTTTGGTGATCGTTTACTAAACGAGCTTCGTAAGATTACTCCGAAAGAATTGAAAATAAGAATCAGTGCTTCTAGTGAACGATTGTTTTCAACATGGATTGGAGGATCTATTCTGGCAAGTTTGGACACATTCAAGCGTATGTGGGTATCAAGAAAAGAGTATGACGAAGCGGGTCATAGAGCAATTCATCGAAAAACTTTTTAGTTATTGTTACATAAAATAAAGCTACAAACAACTTCAAGGTACTATTTAATAATGATGCTATTTATACCTAAGAAGATGATAAAAGTCAAACAAGGCTTATGCCGATTATAGCATAACAAGCACCACGTTAAGTGTAAAAATAAATTTTTGATATAATAAGTCAAATGAAATCACTAACAATTACAATTGAAGATCTTGCAAGAAGAGAAACTTAACAATACTCTGTAAATGCGATTAGCATTTCCTCTCAAATCAGTTAATCGATGTAACTCGAATTAACTGATTTCTTTTCTCCTCTCGACCAAAGTTCGTTTTCTTCGCTTTAATTTTCGCTCTGTATTGATTCTTTGTATGATAATTATTTCAATTATGTTATTTTCACTTCGTGATTCAACTTAACAGCAATCCAAATGATTCCCGAAACAATCATTTTTTATTATATTATCTATGATAAACTCAATCAATTTTCTCATTTCTCCATGAAGTAATCAATTTCTTTATTTTACAGTCTTGTTTTTTACGCTTGTAAAACATGATTAAATACAATTCATGGATGTAATTTATTTCGCATAAAGTTGGCCAAAAGAACTTTTAAAATTAAAGTTGGATTATTGTCATCAATTACTTAAAGTTTCAACTCGTACATTTGATATTTGGAGTTTTATTAATATTAAGATCCAGATATTAAACATTCAATCCCACATCCAAATCCTGGGAAACTCGGATTGATAATCTTTAACATTCAACTCACTAATATATCGGTTTATTTGTGGACTTTGATTTGAAGATTGATTTTAAATTTTGATTACAAGCGGGCAAGTGTAAAAATTAACGAATCCAAGTTGTAACTCCAATAATGAAAGACTTCAAGTGATAACAATCCTCGGATGATCCTGACGATGATATGCAATCGGGCTAAATTAAAATAATTTTATAATATAAAAGATGAAAGTATTTAAGAAAGTGAGTCAATGGTAATTGAAATCAGAGGAAATTTAAAGAGAAGCATCAATTGTATGAGAAACTGAAACATCGCCATGAAAAATAAATTTATGGTCAAAAGATGTTTGAATGTTTGCTATTTATGGACTCAATACTGTCTGAAGTTGTCCAGTTACTAATTAGATATAAAAGGTCAACAATAATCTACTTAAAAAGCTTAATTAGCTTTACTCAAATTGACTTGCTTTCATCTAATTTGATATTTCAATTTACAAGCAAACACATGTGATTACAGAAATTACTCGAAGAGCATTTTCCAATTTAAATCATCAATCAATGAGAGTTGCAAAAATGGCCATTACCAAGCATTACATCCAAATCAACTGACAATTGTGAAACGAGTGATTAACAAGGATTGAATATACATATTTACACAATCAAACCATAATACCATTGACCATAAACTGTTTAAAAATAAAATGTAAATTAACCTTAAATGGATGTTTTATTATTGTGTATAAAAATTGGTAATCTGTAAGGATAAACCTAAAGCAGAAACAAAATAAACGTAAAATAATTTGTTGGTAAGCAACAATATCCTCTTATGATGACCAAGTTAATACATGGGTATAAATATAAGTGTAGGCTCTTAAATTATGAACCCAGATTGTCAACAACACAAGATTACTGTGTTTAATCACTAATCAAGACTTGACCTTTCCTTATTTAATTTATCTTGCATGGTAAGATGATCAAGCCCTGCGCAAATATCATTCAACATGTTTAACCGTTTCTGTTGCTGTTTGTCTTGTAATACTTGCGCATATCATTTATGCTATACTGAGCAATAAAAAGCAAGTTGATCATCATTCAGTCATTTTCAGAGGTAAACAGCTTCATCATCACCATTAACCGTTGTCATCACCATCTTCATAATAACCATCAACATCAACAATACCAAAATTTTCGTTCTGTAAGGTTACAATTTTCAGCCAAATTAACTCGACAAAATGTTAAACTCTTGAACATCTAAACCTTTTGAAAAGCCAACCCAGAAACGACAAAATATTTGTCCATCAATTAAAGCAACATTTAAATTTAAACAATTTACACCAATTTCATACAAACAACTTTATTCAATCCTTTTATTGTCAACTTATCAACAAGTTATACCATTCAATACAAATTCAATCAATGAGCTTCATTTTTCCAACTTTTCAATCTTTTAATCTTTGTTCCATCTTTTCCGACTCCTAATCATTGCCCTGTAAAACTTGATCGTCCATCATCAATCCACTGATTAACAAGCAACAATGCTTAATGTTTTCCTCTTTTACTTTCCCTGTTGATTGATTTTACTCATCAACACTCTAATCATCGTTAATCATAATTGTTTACAGTTGTTGATTACATTTTAAATTTTGACCATTTTTCACTTTCTAAAAAGTAAACCCAAAAACCAGAAAATAAAACCAAAACAGTCAACAAGTTTAGTCTTTAACAGTGAATATGTTTACCAGTAAAATTGTGATTTAGTTTTCATTAAACCACAATTAATGCCTATCAATATAGAGACAATTAAAGGTTCTCATTGAAACGGATTTACCAAATTTAAATCAAATTTTGAAGCAACCATTGATCAATATAACCAGAGGACAATTTAAAGTAAACAAGTAAACAAAACTGGAAATCCCAATTGAAATGTATCATCGAGTGCTTACCGATCTTCCAACTCGTCATCATCTTCCCTCACCAATAGATATTATTGGTTTTCTGCCATCTCCTCAGGTAAATAGATTCAACTCTAATCAAACTTAATTAAACCATGATTCTTGAATTATCTTCAGTGAACAAGAAGAAAAAAAAGAAGAGAAAAGCAAAAATCAATCTTCAAAATGATCAACAAACTCTTTGGGTTGTAAACCAGAAAATACAAAGTTGCCCATTTAAAAGCAACCCAATCTCATTAAAACTTGGCGTCAAATTTTGATTACCAGTAAATTGCCATTTCCAAATCAAAATACTAATTTAATTATCATTTACTTAACCTACAGCTTTTTTGTTCCTCAGTTAAAGGTGAAAACAAAAGCGAAAACCAGAAAACGAAGAGAAGAAGAGAAACAATAAGTTGATTTATTTTCTTGATTTACTTCTGTTGATTCATTTCGCCAATTTATTGGGTTAATTTATCAACTTGATTTATACCAAGTTAAACAGATTGATTAGAGTAAAACTTTCAACTCTATTAACCCTTCAACATAATACCATTGAGAGATTTGTATTTTCAAACATTGATTTGATTTTGTAAAATTGAAACAAATTTCATTTCCATTCAATGAGCGTGTCAACAAAAAGGTTTCATTATTATTTTCATCAAGCCTTCAATTCAATTTCATGTTGATCAGGTTAACCAGCATGAAAACCTCAAACATTATCTTCCATAATTATGAGTATAAAGGCTTTCAATGTTTAACTTGATTTGTGAAAATGTCAAATTCTGGTAAAGATTTGGTTCCAACTGTAAATTTTGCCTTTTTTTTTTTATTGAAATGGTTTCCAGTTTCGAGGCAAATGGTAATCAAAATAACAATTATAACGAGTAAGTTGGATGAGAAAAGAAGATTTTGGAATAAAAAAGCATGAAATGACGAGAATCAAGATGAAAAGCATATTAAGCAAGTTTTTTCATCCATAGACAAAGATAATGTGAAGTGTAACATTAAAATATATGAGGTTAGTTTTCGTTTGCCTCAGTGGTAAACATTTTCATCCTTCATCCATGAATTATTATTTCATCTTCTTTTTGAATAAATACATTGGAAGAAACCATTTTTCTTTTCCTTATCCCTTAACCATATCTGAAGCATCTTCAAGCAAACTTATCTGTTCTCCCTTCCTGGACAAAGAATCTGTATTCATCTTCACCTTCACCTTCATCATCACAGTCATTTTAGTCTACATTCATGTCCACTCGGATCAAATCCTGAAATCTTCAACTTTACATTTTATCCATCAATTCAATCCAATCATAAAGTGATATCAATAACGAGAAGCAAAAAGCTGTGACCAAAAAAAATGTTTACATTTAAATGGTTTACAATAAATTTAAGTCAACTGGTTGTAACCTTTTGAGGATTGATTTTGGTCCAAACAATTATCAATATTTTAACCAGAATATTGAATTTCATTTGCACAAAATTCTTCAGAAACATGAAACCTTTACATTTAGCTTTTTAATGTCGCATCACAATGATTTACAAAATAGATTGATAAAAAATTTCAAGTTATTATATTTTGGTACGTTTGATAACCATTCAATTCAGTTCCTTAAACTGCACTTATCTTCACTCCAAGAACGAACCAAGATTAATCATGGAATCTGTTTAGTTCGTAGTTTTCATAGCCTCTCAATACACCAATGTATCAAATGATAAACTTGACTATTTTAAATTTAGTTGAAAATCGAGTTTTGTTCTATTCGTTTCTACAAATTCTAAAGACACCAAAAATAGAGTAAAATAGTGAATTTGGAATGAAATGAAATTGGATTTTGATCAGTCATTTTGTGCTTTTAATACCGTTCTTTAATTATTCAACGTTGATTATCAAAAGGGAAATGTTAACATTGAACAATCTTATTTTGTCTCACTCGATTTGTCAGTCTTGATAATCTTTAGTCATGTTTTCCCTTGCACTTAACTCACCATCAAACATGTCTTACTTTATTTATAACATTACCATTCAAATGATTAACTCTAAATGATGATGATAATGTGTGTATAGTTTAACCCTTTGACAATTGTTTTGCATAAAATATTATTTTCTTTGAGTAATTTGATTAACTTGATTCTCGCAGCCTTTTTTTCCTGGTTCACCATTAACTTTACCTTCCACTTTCACTAACCTTTCCAGTCTTTCCTCTCAAATTAACCAATATCAAGACATTTTTTTTCTTTCATTCATTTCTAAAGAATCGATAATTCATAATTCACATGATAACACACATTCATTTTTATAAGATCTTAATTATTGCCTTTACCTTTCTTTTTGCTCCTTTACTTTCCCTTCCAACGATTACTGAACCTTATTTGGTTGCCATTATGATTGTCATTACTTTAATCATCAGGAAGAGTTAAATGAACAGACCTTATTCAATCATTAATCTAATGTGTATATTAATACATCCAACATGGTAAAAGAAAAAAGCGAGAAGAGAAAAAATTTTTATCAAATTATATGGAAAAGGCAATTTACGTTTATCATGATAACTATTGATGATTGACCGATTGTTGACTTAAAATGTGAAAAACTTTTCAACACGAAAATTTTCATGATTATGGTGATTCGTGATTATCATGGTTACCATCATGATCATGATTGCTATTAATGGCTTTAGATTAACTTGGCCTTAACTCGCTATTTTTACTTGCTCTTTTGCCGGAAGTTCCGATAATGTTCAGATTCTTGCTTCAGCTTTTGCCTTTTCATTTCATTTGTCACTTGAATGCATTCATTTCCTGTTATTCCAAGTTTTAATCTAAACATTATCATTCATAATGGCCATTTATATTTCATACAAGTTGAAGAGTCCAGATTAAACCACCAAAGCCTTTCATTTAATCCTTTCATTTCTTGTAAACTTCATTGATTGCCATTTGAAAACAATTTCATACTCAACTTGATCCAATCAGTTTCAGGTTAATGAGTTGATATTTAAATTAATCATTTTTGTCAACATTTTTCTCAGTTTCACTTTTAGACTGGATTTGATTGATATCGATTCATCACTAATTTGATGAGAAAAGTCTGTAAATTTAAATTTAGTTTCAATTTAATTTCCTCTTTTTTTCAAATTCTGCTGATGAGAATTATTGATGAAATGATATAAAAACATAAGTTGAATCCAATTAAATTAAGAAACTTACCTTGAAATTCAGATCGATTCTTGGTTTCACCTTATCATCGACTTCACAAACCAAGAAAATAGAAATTCTTCTTTTCCTTGTTTCTTCCAGAATCTTGTGAAATTGTTCAATGAAACTCCAACTCACCTTTAATCAACGAAAACGTTCCAATGATATTTTCCAATTTTTTTGAGCAACATCATTCCTTAAGCGAACATTTTGAACCAAAAGAAAATCTTTTCAGCAATTTTCACCATTCCATAATTTCACTAAACAAACGATTAAAACATGACAAAATCTGTGTGAGATGATGAAGACAGAGGAAAAGGATGTTCTGGAAGAAAGTTTTTTCCCTACTTCCATTTACTGTTGAGAAGCAAATCATATGTTAACCTTTCAAGTTTTTTTTGATAATCTTAATCATTCTTTTTTTTATAAAAAACTCGTTTTAATCATTCTAATGTCACAGTTGCAATAAATGATTATCAACTTTATCAATCAATTTGCTCATCAACTCTTTGCTTTCATAATTGTCTGATTGATACACTTTAGTTTGTGCTAATCACAGTTTACTCAATGTTTGTCTAACCTTGATTATTACTTTACTCTTTGGTTGCAACTCAATTTGGATAAACAAACTCATCTTTAAATTGATAAATAATGTTGATATGGATCGATATTGAAAATACATGATATCACCTGTAAGCCTCCATTTGCAACTCCACAGAGTCTTTACACAAACTTTAATCTCCTTTCAATTGAATTGGTTCAGTTTCAAGTCTGAAAATTGTTGAGCGATTGTAAAATGTTTGAGAATTGTTTGGTTACAAGTTGAAAAACGTGAATAACTATAACGTGATAAGACTAGGAAATTCCCTGGTTATCTATTGTACTTATCCTTCATCAGACGTCAACATGTGAATGATGTGATGAAGATGACATTGATAGGTAATTAAAAGTACTTGAATACAGGGAGTGAAAATAGTAATGATGAAAAGCATATTCACCAAGAGATCAGTGAATAAAGAAGATAATAACTGATGATATTTCAACACCTGATTAACTGGTAAACAAGAAATGAAAGGTTACATATAAAGGTAAGATTACTGTATAAATAGGATCAACCCATGAAAAATGGCAATAAATATCGAACATGGAACAAAATTCTAGACTTTTATTGTTGAAAAATTAACAATTTGATCATAAAATGTCTCTTGCCCAAGGATAGTTTGAAGGGCCATTCCTGATCTGAAATGACAAGTTTAAAGGTTGAGAAGAAAATTGAATGTGACAAAAATTTTCAAGATAATTCTCGATTGATTTCATTGTTCAACTTGTTGAATCTTCAGTTTGAAAATGAAATTTTGTTTCAAATTTAAACTCAATTTAAATGTTGAAATGAAAGGTTTCACCAAGTTTCAACCTTAAACATTGAAAATCTCGATAGCAATTCATTTCTGGTAAAAACAAGGTGAAATCAAACTCGATTGTTGTTCAAACTATTCAACATCAATTTCAAAAATCAATAGTTTTTTTTCATGCAAATTGAAAAGCAAAAAGCATGAAAAGTTCATCGAAAGAAAAATCTTTTGCTTTTAAAATTTTCTCTCAAATCATTCAGATTGACATTTTGTAACAATATGTATTCAAAAGCAAAATGTTTAACAATAAATAATTTACAAAATATCATTTTTCCTCTATAAGATTCAGTTTAGACATTCAGTTGCAATTGATTGTTCATCGGAATTGATTGTTGTGTCAGTTTGAACAACAATTAATTGAAGCACTTTAATGAAGCTTGTCAAGTTAACTGATTTAAGTCTTGATCATTGATTATAATAAATTAACTTTTACTTCTGAGTCGATTGAAGCATTGCAATTATTCAATGTGAATATCGTTTCTCTTTGTAATTATGTTGCTGCTTGAAAGTTTCACCTGAAGTTGAACAATAAAAAAACTAATTAAATTAGAAAATTGAAAATCTCTCGAGAATCAGTGAAATATTTTAATATAAAGTAGATAATTAACTGTTTAAGCGTTCATTTTAGTTTCATTTAAATGAAATGAAACTTTTAATTTGCATTTAAAAAGGAAAAATTGTTTCCTTGGTTTTTGTTCATCCAAATAAATTGTATCATTTGGTCAAAGATATAATGTAATTGCCATTAATTGTACATAATTTTTGAATTCAATTATTGTTTCCATGATAATCAAGTTAACTCGTCAGTTGACTGGGAGTTTCCTTCCCTGTTTTTATATCAATTTGATGTATTTTTTTGTCTTTCATTGGTTTAAAGTTGAATGGTCATTAATGATTTTGTGCTACTTTTCAAGTAAAGATCATTATTATTGAAGATGACCATTTTGATCCATTAATTGGTCAACTTTACGTTCATCTCGAGACTTGTAATGTTCAGTTTGCATTGTGAGTTGAACCGTAAGCAGAAACAATTTACAGCTAATAATGTTTAATCAATGTCAAAATCAGATAACATGAGAAACACCTTTCTTCTGTTATTTTTGACTACAATTGCAATGGAAGGCAAAAGAATCAGATATTTTCTATCATTTTGTTCGTTTTTTGTATTCTTTTCCTTCATCACTAATGTTACGTCCAAATTGAGAAACAACTAAAGGGTAAACAGAAATCTCGAGTTCCAAAAAGAGCAAACGAATTTAATGCTCATTTAGTACATAAAAAATTCAATATAAATCATTTTCTTTAGTTTAAAAAAGAATCCAAATTCCTTTCTAGAACTACTTGGAAGCATCCAACTCTAAACTAAAGATGTACATGTGTAGGAAAAGAATGTAAATATCCATTTGAACATACCAAGTGAGAATTGATACTCTTTTTTACCATCGGTGTGAATCAGAACGCAGATTTTCCATGCAGTTTGGGGTGCAAAGGCAATGGAGATACAGAGTTATCTTTATGAAAATTCCATGATATGTTTGTTTTTATGAGTTGTATTCTGACCTTTAGGTCAACGCATTTCAGACGCTGACAAGATTACATGAAACTTATACTAACAAGGGCAGTGACATTGATTGTACGATCATTTTCAATTTTCTTTGGGCTTGTATCGTAGAAGACAAAAAATAATTAGAATGCTTTGCTTTTTTACGCCGGTGCATTGGTATTTAGGCATTTTAAGTAAGAATTTGCAAAGTATTAGTGACACTGAAAAAACCGATTTCACCGCTTATACGGAGATGGTTCCAGGTGTATTACAGCGCTCGGAACCCAAAGTTTCGATTGTGAAGTCCGACAAGCATCATGGTTCGGCAATTACCTGTTATGACAGTAAAAGTTTCCAATTTGTTTCTAAATGTTGTACAAAAATCGACACGTTAACCTGTGTTAAAGCCCGCTGGAATAGTTTAAAGATTGCTATACTTTGTTGCTATTTTTCTTCCAACATTACTAAGTACAAGGTGGCCGATTTACGAAACGCTCTTAAAGGTATCGCTGACTTTCTCGATTCGGTGCCTGACGACGTGTTAAATCTGTTTGTCGGCGATTTCAATGCTTACCACCCTTCTTGGTCCGATGAACAGTGTAAAAACACCTACAAACGACAGAAAGGTGAGCAGTTAATGTTGTTTCTTAATAGGACCGAAATGCGGGTGTTGAATCCAAAAATGCCCAATTGTTATCGGAGAGACGGGTACTGTTTGTGACCTGGTTTTACCCTGTGAAGCCATGTTTCGGGATTGCTGCAGTTTTTGTTGAAGGTCCAGCAACGGGCTCCTCCACTTCTTCTCCATTTACATTAGTTACTCCCGTAATTACAGTTAAGCTAGTTGCCATTGTTTCCAAGGTTAAAAGTAATGAGAAATTAAAGATGCTTGCACAGTGCACAATACTTGATGTGTGGTCAGATGTGACATTTTAAAAGTTTTTGTAGAGTCCAAAAAAGACTTTGAACGCATTGTAGGTGGGGAATGTGAAGATAATCTCTTTTCCCCTTACTTACTACCCCCTTTTGTTTCCCTTTCCTCTGCTGCTCTTCCACTTAAGTTTTATTGCCCTGTTTACTCTTTTGCTTACTCTTTTCTTTTACTCTTTTCTTCTGCCCATACCCATGCCCAGCGGGCAAACATCTGCAACCCAACTAACCAACAATCTTATCTATCCAAAAAGCAACAAGGACGCCACTTAGGCCGGGATGGTAAAAGAACGAACATTACTTCTTTTATCCCGTCGGAGAATCTCTATCTTTTCTTTTCGACGGAGGTAGACGAGTTACCTGGTTGCTCCTGCCAGTAGTCATATGCTTGTCTCAAAGATTAAGCCATGCATGTCTAAGTACATACTGTTTATAAAGTGAAACCGCCAATGGCTCATTTAACCGCCAACCCCCCCAAAGGGGGACCACCTCACCGTGGTGGGGGGTGCTATGTTCCCAATAGGCTTCTGATCATTACTGGGTCTTTAGCTGGCGAATACTAAGTGTCCCTCTGGTTGACCTGAGCCATAATATAGGTAGCAGTCTCGTGCTGCGACCCTGACCAATGGGTCTCTTAACATCTTAGAGTACATTGGAAGTACTGTGCAGTACCTGTACTGTGCAGTACGAAAAGGTGACCAGTCTAACTGGTAGGCCTTATGATATTGTATTTATTGTCTCGTCGTTATAAACGGCGCAATGTAATATGAATGGATTAGGGTCGAAAACCTCTTAATGAGTCTTGCATAAATTTGCTGCAGCCTAGCCTTGTTTTCCTAGAAGCCTCAGTCATTTCGTCTCGCTTGCGGGACATCCTTAGCAGAACAAAGTCGCCGTCGCAACTATAACCTAATCAATTCCAAGCGGCGGGGTGGAGGAGGGCGAATTTTATGTTAGGGCTCATTTAATGAAAGAAAAATTGAGTGAACAAAATTTTTAAATTTTTGTTCCCATGCTATCTCTAACAAACTTGTAGACATGAGTATGGCAGGAATCGGTTCGGTAATTCAAGAGAAATTGGGTGAACAAAATTTTTAAATTTTTGTTCTTATGCTATCTTTATGGGTGAAAATTTTATCTTCGATTTTCAAATTTTAAATCGTTACTATCGTTTTGATAAGGTTTAAACAAACTTGTAGATATGAGTATGGCAGAAATCGGTTGGGTGGTTCAGGAAAAATTAGCATGACAAATTTTTGGAAAATCTACTTAAAAACTACCCATGTTAACCCTATGGGAAAAATTCAAAACTCCAAAATTGAACATCCAATGACATGGTTGTTTAGAAGAGGTAGATTGTGTGTTGACTGGCCACACCTTGCAACCGACGTTCAAAAGCGCAACAGAGTTCAAGCGTGTACTGCAGCTTTGAGCACCTATAGATGGGACACGCAGCCATTTATGAAAGCGCTTTTCACGATGGATTAAACCTGAATACCGCTTCATGACCCTCTCACCGAAGCTATGGAATGGGTTTCAAGTCGCGATCAGCTCTCACAAAGGCCAACCTCTTCCATGCATGACAAAAAAGTGATGGCGTGCGTCTATTGGGATTCATCAAGATTTATTGGATGGAGCAAGGGCAAACAATTGACGGTGACACCAACCGAGCCTAGCTCGATGAAATTGATGGCTTGGTTCAGGTTTAGAAGACCCCCAAACAGTCGAAGGAATCCATTGTTCTTGCAGGACAACGCGCATCCCCACAAGGCTGCCAAATTAATGGAAAAAATACGTG